TCCAGAGACTTGAGCTCGGACCACTTTCCGGTATGTGCTCCTCGTGTCATACGCAGGGTTACGGAAGGAGTGTGCGATCGGAAGAATTGAAGTACAACAAATTGCACTTCTAGCAAAATCGATCTTGGTTGTGATAATCCACCAGAAATTATAATCAGGGATTGATCTCTGATTGTAATCCCCTCATTGGAACTAGTAGTAATCGTAGTTACAAGAACTATGTCGGGTTTAGGGTAAAACTAAACCTGAGGGGTCCATCAAACAAATTACTTTCCGCTGGGGTACGTAAAATCTTAAGCTCGCTATGGAACAAGAAAATTTATTTATTTTTGTCAGAAGATATAAACGTGCACGGGTTGAGTCAACCATGAGCCTTAGAGATGCAGATGTAGGATAGGCTATGTTGCATAGCTAAAACCATTGCTGGAATTGGCATCGGCTGTCAGAAATCGGCATCGGATCCCCGTGCATTCGACCAGAAATACAAACATAAAACTCCTCGTGTCTACCATAAACTGACACCTTTTCTCCAGAAACATGAAACTCGAATGTCCATCCATCTCTTCTCAAAAGCCGCAGCAGAAACGTACAACTTCCACATCGCTGCAGTACACTTTAGGGAGTAGAATAGTGCCCATAAATTAAACTCTCTGTTTAACTAGAGGTTTAGGAAGCACCGTAAATAGTGGACCGCCCCAATGCCCCAATGCAGCCAGAATAGTTCCGACACACTCGAACACGTGGTACACGGCTGCCCGAGGCCTGACCGTTAACGGGAGACAGATAGCCAGATAGATGGTACTCGATGGTCGTCAGTTTCCCTGGTCCTGGTTCTGACTGTGACTTTTATATGAATTGCATTGAGCAATAATAAAATTGAATTAAGACGTATATAATAAATAAATATTTATTTATGTATTTATATATACTTGGATTTCACCACCCTCCATTGATAGCACAAATATATTCTGGTGGAATATTTCACAATTATTTCATTTCTTATTGTTCCATATTTATTCAAAAAATTTGTGCAACAAAAAATTTCTCTCTTTATTACTTTATAGCTTAGTTTTTGCACTTCAGTTACAACCTTCCATGGGTATGAATAATCTTAAACATTAAAAAAAAAAATTAAAAATTTTGGAAAACACAACAGTGATGCATTCTTCCCAGACCAAACTAAGTAGAAATCTTCTATATTGTGAAAATTTTAGTTGGAAATAACTCTCATAGAATTTCATGATTCACGAAGATAAATACTACTATGATTGCTATTTAAAAATTCGTCTAAGCCTTTATTTTATAAAAAAAAATACCTATCAGAACCACATGTGTCATGCATTCTGATTTGATTCATGTTGTTTCTGATTTCCAAGATTGACAAAGCATTAGAGTTTATATATTTGACTAAATCAAAGTTGCTTCAGAAAAAACAAAATTTTAACTCTCATTTATTGAGTACTATGAGCATTGCCAATGACATTAAGCTTCTAGAGTACACTACATTTAAAAGAATCTAATGGAAATTAATGTCATCAACAGTATGGATCTTCTTGTAGTGTAGGAGTTGTGATTGATCAAAGCAAATTCATAAAAGCAAAATATATGTCTGCTTTTATCATACATTTCTCAAATCCAAACGAGAAACCATGCACAAATGATCATAGTGAGATTAACACACTAAACAAAATAAAGTCCCTATTAGCATTTTTGAATCACATATAAGTTCATATATGATACTTGTGTCATTTCACTTCTCATGTATTTAATTTTTGCTGTGATATTAATTTAGTGTTAAAAACTTAATCTTTATAACATTTTGGAAAAAAAATTCAGAAAAAAAGATGAAAAGAGAAAAATATCAATTCCAGATTTGGATAAATCTTCAAATTAATATTTTCTTTTAATAAATGATTGACCTATGATTTGATGTTTTGGCTTCATTCATATTTATATATAATTTTAAGTCAAGGTTATTTGTTATTCATTTTTTTTTTGTTAATTCATTTGTCAATGTCATTATCATTTGTGAAACATGTAACTCTACAAATATTTCTAATGCGATTTGTACCATTTTGAAGCATTTTGTATAACTTAAAGACTACAATACAAAGAAAACCTTTGCAATTTTGCTAGTTGTTTGTGACTTAAAAAAATATTCTGATGAATCGTTCTCATAAATCTTTTTGTGTATTGTAATGCTTCATCGAGCATTAATTATCTTATCAATTGTATCCTGAAGATTTTTTTGAAAATGCATTTTGTTATGATTGTTTTAGAAATCAATAAAGATTGAAAGATAAATAAAATAAACCTAAAAGACTAGAAAATACCATTTTATTTCACTTTTAAAAAAATGAGTTACGTACATGTAGTTTACACATCACATTATGTTGATATTATATTTTGAATATCTGTTATTTGCAAATCATAGTATATCAGTTTTTGACTAATATTAAATAATGTTAGTTCATGCTTGTCCAGAATTAAAATAACAGTGGGTACAATCATTCATCTACGATTCTAATATGACTAACATTTTTTAATTTTTAATTTTTAATTTTTAAATAATTACAGAAATATGTTGTTATTCTTTTAATTCATCAGATAATATTGCTTATAAATAGAAGTTAGTTTTAAATTTGACTATAGAAAATTTAGCATAACAAAATGTTATTTTTTTTCAAAGTTTGAAATACAAAAATTCTCGTTTGTCTTTGCAATAGTCTCAAAATATAATTATTTTTATCATTCTTATATTCAATGTTGGTTGTACTTGTTGCAACATAATGGTTTTAAATTATATATAAGATGTAGTATTTCTTTCTCCATTGGATCTAATTTCTCGTTTGATAAATTTAACAAATTTTTACGTTTTTCTTTTTTTTAAAACAAGTAAAAAAATTATTGAAAAGTTGACTCTGATTACAATTTGCATGTTAGCAAATTGTCTTGTCCAATATCATAACGTGATTAATGCTTGATAAGACAATAGATAAAAAAGATATGACCTCTGTAATCCAACAAATTTTAATAATGAGATCATGATGTCTTTCAAAAAACATGTCTTATGTCTTATATATTTATTTTCAGTAGTTTAAGAAAATGTCAACATATTTAATTTGAAATAAATAATCTATTTTATTTTCATCAGAATTTTTTAAGCATATGATTTTTCTGAATCAAAACAACATCAATTGTCAGATTATTGATATCCATTTTATTCTTCTAAAGCTTGTACTTTAAAATTTTTGGATTAAGATTTTGGAAAAAAATCGAAAATTCTAAGATATAAATATAAAAATTATATTTCTAGTTTCTAAAAATATCTTAGGAAATTAATTAACCATGAATTAGATGGATATCTATTAAATGTTGAGACCAAAATCTAAATTGAAGCTTATGATAATTGTGAAAATTCCTTGTTTTAGATTAATATATCTAATTATTTCGATATAGTGATTTTTTTTGAAAAATATGAAATATAATATGCATTTGTAAATTTTTTTTCAAATTTATCGAAAGCAGGAAAGATTTTTTTTTAAAAAATATTCTTTATGAATTTTTAATCAAATAAATGCTCAAAATGTCTTATAGAAATTTCTTGGAATTTTTTCAACTATTTGATACAAAAATATAATTTATGAAAAATAATGATATATGATCTCATATTTATATATCATTGTGATTATTACTATCTTTTTTTCGGTTTTTTTAAAAATGTATATATTTAAAATGAGTTTGACCTCTTGTAGGATAATACCTATAAATTTAAAGCTTTAAATGTCATATTTTCAGTTAAATTTACTGTTTTCTTTAAATTTTAATCAATAATAAAAATTATGCTCCTGAAATGTTTTTACTTAATTATTTGAGAATTATCTGTGAATTATTTGATATTTATTATATTTTACTCTTTTATAATATAAATTTAATTTTCATGATGTATTTAAGACTTTTGATATAAAGTTTTCAAGATTTTTGAGATATATTTTTTAATTCATATTTTTGACATAAAAACAATGTATTTTTTGATCAAGTTGACAAAAAAATATGTTGATAATAAATGTGAGCGTTTTAGTTTCTTAAAAAAATTTTAATCGTTGATAAAGATATGTATATTGGTGAACATGTCAAAATTTTTGTATTTATATCTTTTTAAGTTTTGGAATTGCGTATTTTAAATGCCCAAGTTTTTTTTGTAAAAAAGATTACATTTGACTTTCATTGAGGTTATATGATTTTTGAAATCTAAAAAAAATTCTAGTTATAGTTATAATTTTTCTCAAGGTTATAGTTCTGATATATTTAGATATTTATTGAATAAAGTTATAATTGTATAGCTGTATGAAAATTAATGGTTACATTTTATTGTAAAATGATATGATCATCGGATATAGAATTAGTCCAATATATATGTTCTTAAATATATATTTTATACTTATGTGATTTTGATTTTTCTTACATTGAATGTATGTGAATGATTGTAGTTGAATCAAGTATACTTTGTGTAAAGATTTTATGCATATTTTCATGACACTCTAGCCTGTCATAAGATTAGATTTGGCGTATACGAGTGTAACTCCATGCACTATCATAGACATATTAGATCATATGTATATGTTGAGGTTTCCCATATTATTCTTGATGAAAATGATTTGCTACGACGTGTACACTAATTTAAGAACTCTCAAAAAGAAATTTATCTTTTTAGATTTAATTATAAATATATAATAAATAAATAAACATGTTTGAATATTGTCTACCATATTCTACTATGAAATATTTATGTAGGTTATTCTAATGAAATGATGTGTTGTCTGGAAAGCACGTAAGAAAGATTCTTGAAAACTTTACACACATTTGCAAACGTGTGTACCTAAGCAAATATGTAGAAACCACACATTCGACCTTATGATGTACCATCGTCATTTTGATACATAATCTTCAACAATCTAGCCAGAATAAATGGCGCGTATAACTTTGTATAAGGTTTTGAAGGTCATTAAGGAATTCAAACATTCGAAATGTTCAAACGTTATACAAAATATATAGGTAGTTCATCTCAAATATTACAAATGCTCGAAATACAAACATACCACACGATCATAAGGTAAATATGTGTCAAGAAGATCCATGTGGATTCCATCTCCATGGGAATCGCAGGTATAGTCGTAGGAAGTGATGGCGTTGAATCCTCCAAAAGGAAAGAAACTTTTGGAGCCCTTCGGGAGAAGCACGAGGATGCGAAGATGGTTGGCCCAAGGCTGGCGGACTCAACGGACCCGCGACGTTCACGGGCACCCGGCCCAGGCGGGATCGAATCCCGGAGTTTCTCAAGATCCGAGAATCTTACCGGACACTGCATGGGAATGACAACGAGGACGTTTCGGCTCGCCCGTCGGCCAACAAGATGCCGGCGCCACTCGCAACTTCCCCTCCAGGTCTCGCAGAACAGACGCAATTCGCGCTCCGCGCTGGCCGCAAACCCCACGGGTGCTCAACGACTACCCGTCCTCGGGCTGCCGTGTCCGGTCGGGTCACACTCTACTCCACCCGCGCTCGGCGCTCTCCCCACCACCACAGTCCCGCCTACGACAGAGTCGACTCCACGAGGCCCGACGCAACGCACTCCGCCAGATACGGCCGGCACGCAGCAAACTCGCAGGTCAAAAGTTTGCGGTCCTCATTTCTGCGTCTGCACCTTTCGTCGTCTTTCCCCGACCCCGACCCCGACCCGCGGTCAAATTGCGCGTTCTGCACATGTCCAAAGGACGTGACGGACGGGAACGGGTGCGGTGACGCAAAGTCCGTCGCGGGGGCGGTGACGCAAAGCCGAGAGTTCCCGCTTGGCGTCACGGCGGCGACCACTTCGAGCTTCAGGACTGGCGCGACGAATGAGCGCATCGTTGGCGCTCGCTGAGTCTCCTCGCCTTTCCCCTGCTCTGCTCTTCTCTGCTCTTCTCTTCTGTTCTCCTCTCGTGCTCGAGGGGGGAGGGCATGGGGAGGGGAGGGGAGGGGGAGGCGGGTTCTCATGCAGCAGCGAGCACGCGTGCGCCTTTTACGAAAGGGCGGACGAGCGCGCGGATTTGACCATGTCTCGTCGGGGTCAGCGCAGCCCTTGCTAGGCAGGCTTTCTTGCTTTTCTCGCTGGCCTGTTCGATCTCGTCGTCGTCGGAGTCGTCGTCGGCCCTGGCGGAGAATTGTTCTGGTCTGCAGCCCGGACTCGATCCGGTCTGGTCGTGCACGCCGCGGACATCAGCTTGTCCAGTAGTTGTCTGATCCGTTGCTCGGCTTCCAGGATTTCTGTCACCCCGTCCCTCGCCGTATAAATTCGCCTCGCGGCTTGCACATCCATATGGCTGTTCTCGACAGCGATTCGTGTCCAGGAAACTTGGAATTGCCGTTATTGCTGTTGAGGTACTCTGAAAGCGAGCAATGCTGTGGAGAAGCGACAGAGATCGGTGCGAGAGGTGAAGATCGAGCGAGTACAAGTTGTCGAAATCGAAATCGAAACCGAAATTTCTGGTCTCTGGTTTCGCTCGCCGCGGCTCTTGCTCTTGCTCTTGGTCCCTGCTCGAGAAGAAGCGCCCAAGATTTTGCATCTCCGTCGTCGAGGAAGCTGATCCTCTTGTGAGGAATTCGTCGCCGAAGATGGGCTGGAAGGGGTTCGTCGAGGGCGGGCTGGCGTCCATCGTCGCCGGATCGGCCACGCACCCTCTGGACCTGATCAAGGTTCGAATGCAGCTGCAGGGAGAGGCCGCCGCGCCGGCGCCCGCCCTGGCCTCGGCCTCGGGCTCGTCCTTCTCGACGAGCTACGGCACCGGGACCATCTCCATGGGGCGGCAGGTGGTGCGCGCCGAGGGCGTCAAGGCCTTGTACTCGGGCGTGTCGGCGTCGATTCTGCGCCAGGTGCTCTACTCGTCGACGCGGCTGGGCCTGTACGAGGTGCTCAAGGTGCAAATGCAGGACGAGCACGAGAAATCGCTGCCGCTGCACAAGAAGATCGCCGCGGGGCTGGCCGCGGGAGGCGTTGGCGCGGCCGTTGGGTGCCCGGCCGACGTTGCCCTAGTGCGCATGCAGGCCGACGGTCGGCTGCCGACGTTCCAGCGCCGCAACTACAAGGGCGTGGCGGACGCGCTGGTGAGAATCGTGCGCCAGGAAGGCATCGGCTCGCTGTGGACGGGCTCGGGCGCCACGGTGCAGCGAGCGATGATCGTCACCGCGTCGCAGCTCGCGACCTACGACCAAATCAAAGACTTTCTGATCTCGAAGCACGCCCTGCAAGACGGGCTCTCGACCCACATTGCGGCCAGCGTGTCCGCGGGCTTCGTCACCTCCGTGGCCTCCAATCCCATCGACGTGATCAAGACTCGCATCATGAACATGGAGGTGCAGCCCGGGCAGACGCCCCCTTACTCCGGCGCCATCGATTGCGCCATCAAGACCATCAAGAAAGAAGGCCCCATGGCTCTCTACAAAGGATTCATCCCCACCGTTTCCCGCCAGGGTCCCTTCGCCGTGGTCCTCTTCGTCACTCTGGAACAAGTGAAGAAGCTGCTGAAAGATTTCTGATCGCCCCAAGCGCTCCGCCATTCGACTGGAGCACGATCATTACACATTAGACTTTATTTGAATTCGGACCTTGCGCGCACGCACCCGCTTAATGATTTGGGACCAGGTCTGTATGTAAACTGACACAATATTCCAACGGATTTTGTTACACATTTGAGATCACGGGGCCTCTTTTTAGTTGTAGGACCCTAAACGCAATTAGATGTACCCACGGAGGCCTGTGAACATAGACGAGATAGAATACAGAGTGATCTTTTAGTCGAGAGAAAACGTATATTAGGCATTGGAGTGAAGGCTGCGAAGCCCCGATATAGGATACGCCATGTGAAAGGCAGCGAATCCTCTACCTACTGCTCTTCCGAGAGAAGATTCTAATTCAATTTTTTGTGGACTCCTAGAGTCCATCGTTCTTTTCTAGAACTAGCACTGTGTGATTCTTTTAACCGAAATAGCAACCCAGGGTTGTACCCTTTCTGAACGATTCGAGACACACGTCGAGATAGCTATGCACTTTCTGTTGCGTCCACTGTGTCGTCAGTCTCCATCATGCCATGTACAAAACCAACTGGACAGAAAACGCGGCAAGTCTCATCATAGCGTTAGTTTTCAAACCCTAGCTTGGCTTCGGTCAACATCTATCCCAATATTCTCGTTCAGTACTCTTCCAAGGGGAATATGTGTCCGCGACGACCATCACTGCCTTATGACGACCATCACTGCCGTATGACTATGCCGTGCGGGGTGCGGTGCAAGCGAAGTGATTCCGAAGTGCAATTCCAGATACTCCATTTAAACCTTCTTGCGGGAACTAGTCAAGATCTCAGGACTCGTATAAAATGGTTGACGTCGATAGGGCAAGAGCATTGGCCTCTGAGTTCTAGGACTGTTCGGTTTGCAAGCAACACTTGGACACGGAGTTGCTACACGAGGAAGATACTTATGAAGGATACCAACTCCTCGAACGCACGCGCTTCGGACAAGTGTGCACAAAATTAATGCAAGAATAAAGAATCAAGTAGAAGACATCGAATATCCGATATGATATTTACGAACATGGTCAGATATTTCAGATGCTTAAAACAGCTTTTCACAGGGAATGGAGAGCTTTATGTGTCCATCCCAGGTGTCCGAAACCTCTGCTGGGACTGTCACGTCTCATTTCTTTCCTCACTCATATTCATTGCTCTATAGTGGCAAAGGAGAGTTCTCATTAGAAGATTTGACCTTTTGTAATATGGTATCGAAGGATGAACAAGTTTGGTGCGGCATTCATTTCTAACATCTCGGAAGGAGAGTTCAGACCTCAGTTAGGCGAAAAACCTGAGTTTTCTATCGAGAGCTTAATGTTTCTTGGCTCCACGTGGCGAGAGCTTATTCAAATTGCACAATATGTGAGGACTATCCAACACTAATACAAAAAACAGTCGAACACGCTCACTTCATTGAAAGATGAAGATCACAAGAGTTTTGCAATTCACTGTTATGACATCAGGTTTTTATTGTGGACAGGTTCAGTTGCTTCCAGACAGACCGAATATTTTTTCGAAGTTCCTGATCATCACCGAGAAATATAAGGATATTCCCAGAGCAATGCGCATCAAATAAAACTTCAAGGCAGAAGAGCCGTCATAAGGCTGTTCATCACCATGTCTCCATACGAACCTCTCGGCATTTATTACTTGTATATGCATGGGACCCATTCCTCACAGGATTTCAGTGTTTGTTTGAAATGCTCCTTCGAGCAGAATTTACCACGATGCACAAGACACAACCAACTCATGGAACAATATACGTCTACAGCGAGCACAGGATTTTAGACACTGTCGTCACATTGTACCATATCCGTCGAATCGGACAGAAAGCAGCACGTGCATGCAAGTCATGTACCTCATACCAGTATTGTGTGACGAATAGAAGAGCAAACAGCTCTAGTCTATGAGGTTCCCATGCAGTGCACACTCAGGTGAAACTTCTGCACTGAGCGACTAAACTCACTCAGTGACTGCAGTTACTGCACGACTTTAGACACGTGAGCAAAGCCTCCCACTGAACTGGCAGCTTCATGCCCATGGGCCATATCTGTGAACAAGTTTCACAAATATGGCCTTGTTTACGAGTTGTGAGCTTGACCGAGTAGAGCCCTGTGTCCCAATATATATGATTATTACTTTTCCGCCAGTCTAGTAATGCTCAATCTTTGGACGAGATGATAGGTAGCTGAGGTACATCAATGACATAGTTTCTAAACTCGACATGGCGTCCTGTCTCGTGACGGCTGTGGACGTTGGCGTTGGAGTTGACAGTACCAATTAGCGGAACAGGGCAGAGTGTTCCTCGGAAAGTCATATCCCAGGAAAGATCATAAATCGGCGTATCAGCCATCAATCTGCTAGCCTATGACAGATGACCCTTCTTCCCCCGGGGTTCGGGCGGGTCGTTCTCCAAGCCAAGGAACGCTCTTTTGTTCTGGCCTGATACACACACGATTCACCTGTCTCCCCATGGCCTCACCTAAGAATTGAGCGCAAAGATGGAAAGCGCCTGATTCGGTGCAAAAGGACAGAGCAGCATACAGCAGATGAGATTAGGTAAGGGTTGATGAAGGTAGAAACTTCTCACTCGCAAGGACGACGTCAACTGGTTCATGTGATAGAAACACTTAACACCAACAGTTCAGATACTTTCACTGCGAACAACATACAGAAATGAAATTGGATCGACCTGGGCAACTGGTGCTCACTATCATTGAGAACTTGCTTTGTTCTATGAGAAATCCTTCACAGCATTGTACTCCTCGCCCAGTTGAATGCAGGTCATGGTCACATTGGTGTCGACCAGAGCACAATTTTTATTTCTCGAACTGAAACTAGCAACATACACTAGCTCAGAGAAGGCCATGCGTATTCTGTGACAATAAATATCTTCTGCTGGGCATGCCAGATAGTTGCATAGATTAGCATGACAGTAAATTAAAATGCATTATTTTCTTCCAAATTTCGAGCAACCTGAATAAGTTCTCCTATATGACTTCGAAATTCGAATTCGAGTCAAACAGAAAACAATGGTCTTGTTTGTATGCAAATTTGTTGTGTACATGACTACAGTGATCCTGTTTCAAAGTAGATTATCATGGAAATGGATCATCGGAAGCAATCAGTGGCAAAGTATTGCAGTTTGTGCTCAAATAAGAATTCAGAGGCCTCAGTAGAAGGAGCAGCGCTAACAAGAATCATACCCACTTGTTCCGGAGACGATGTACAGTACAATTGATTTGAATGTGCTTCCTTTTTCTCATCTCCTGCTCTACATTCAGGAACGAGAGATTTCCAAAAACCGAGAGAAACCACAAAAGAGAATCTGTTTTTCCGGAATATGTAGAATGCTGGCAATGCATTTCCATGTCCTGAAGTACTGGGGATTGCAAAAGTGTAAGAACTGAGGCTACGGACCACAAAAGGCTAATTACTAAGAGAGCCACAACAGGTTGACTTCACTTCAGGATACGATCCCAAGCGCGTTGACAGTCAAAATGATTTCTTGCACCAATACTTCTGTCACTTCTTTATTTGGAAACACAGGCTCTCAAGGATTTCATGAGCAATGAAGAAAAGAGATACAAAGAGGTAATTTACTAGTTCCAGAGCTTGCTCATCAGCCACCTTAATCTCACATGATCAATTATCCACTCGACGAACAATTCGTTTAGTGTCGATGAAGACTGCGCGGATGGATTGGCACAAGCAAAGGTGCATTACGTGAAGTATAGGGAGATACTCGAGGTCTGGACTTTCTCGTTCAAAAGAGAGAGGCTTGATCAACAGAACGAAATTGTTAGCCTTGCAGCTCGAGTTCCATACGTTGCTCCGAACCATGTCTGTGAACATCGCAGCTGTATGTCATTTGCATCACATCTGTCTAGCCTGTAGCCCTCATCCACGCGTAAAGTGATCTCAACTGATTTACACTCGGATGTGCTCCTTGATCGGGGACAGAAACATGTGTAGGCCTCGAGCTGGGTTGATGGAAGCTCTGCTCAAGGGCGGTGGAACACCACATCGAGATCGAATCCAGAGCAGGTGAGAACTTAAAGCTCTGAGAACTCGCCCGGCTGCTGCTGGGCGAGCAAGGGACAATGACGCATTCTGTGGCGGCGGCGATGGGTGCCAGAGTGGCCCTCCTCGCGTCTCCGACTGCCGGCGGCAGCTGCGGGGACGGGCCCGAATCAGTATCTCAGATCTTCAGAATCGCAACTCTTTCAACGCCTTGGGTGCCGTCATCGAAACAGCCGCCTGCTTGAGTGGCGAGGGGAAGTCGCAGCCTTCTGCGCCGGTGTCCATCATGAAACCTTGGGAATTGTGGACCTCGCAGTGACTCTTCGGTTGCCGCCGGAGTTTCGTCGAGTCGAGTCCGACGCACTGATCCATGAACAACAACTCGAAGGGACTTCTGTAATTTCATTCATTCTCCTGCCTCAGGATCGAGGATAAACCCCCAGTGGACCACCTTCTCTCCTCGGTCGATCATCCGCAGCTGCTCAGAACTGCGTTCATGCAGAAATTGTTGGGCCACTAACAGTGAGATCTGAGTATCATGTGACGGATTCGATTGTCAGCTCCGGTAGCCTTGATCTACCGATGCCCGACTGCGGGAACCACGACTAACAGCAATGCGGTGATCGATGCGATCAGTCGACCTCCTCAATGATTCGGAGCTTGTCTCGATCGACTGCTCAGAGCCCCAAACTGGCTTGCCATGATGTGAGCACTGAGGCGTGATCTCGCTGCTGGCCGAGAGTGGACTAGACTGCGGTCCATCGGCACCGAGGCCAGTGAATCTGTTCACCGTCCCTTGGGTGTGAGCACGGGCATGACTCCTTCCTTCTGGATGTTGATCGAAGAGAGGTCGATACCACACTTTTATCATACTCTGAGCTTTGTAGAATCGACGCAGGCAAGGGTCTGACTGGACCTTCACCTTCACCCTTCAACTCGAAGGCGATCGTTAAGGAAATTCCAGCACAATTCTTTGTTCGACACCACTGTGGCAGACGGTCGTTTTTCTTCAACCTCTGATCTCAAGTACAAATGGACTCTTGTCCATGACTATGCAAAACTGGGAATCCTGAGTTTTAACTTGGTTCTCATTCTCTCATATTGCTCTGATCCCAATTGGACACAAGCTTGCAGTCAATCCGTCATCCTCGAGCCACCACGAATCGAGTCCGGGCTCCGTTTCCGTCTCTTGCTCATCAGATTCTGAGTCGGTGATCTCGAATTCGACTACGAGATGCACTCCAGAGGCGGATTCGGTTGGTCTAGAAGGAGTCTCGATGTATTCAATACGCAATTGCTTTGTCTTCTGAACA